CGCTAGAGGTGGGTTTTACAGGTGCCTCGAAGTGATGACAGGTGAAAAAATCGACTTGAATAAGCAGGACCAGCAGGGCAATACCGCACTGCACATAGCTGCAAAGGCAGGATTTGATAAATTTGTGAAACAGATCATTGCCTTGGAAAGCGACATCAACATCAAGAACAAGGCAGGGAACACACCGCTTATGGAAGCCGTAACGAAAAATCGTGCAAGTTGCCTGTTGATGTTGTTGCACAAAGGGGCCAAGGTGGATGAAGTCAACAAGATGAAGAGAAGTATTTTGCATATTGCCTCGGATAAGAGGTCTGGCGAATGTATGGAATATATTCTGAAAAGTGGTGACATGAAGAAGGTGATTAACCTCCAGGATAACGATGGTTGCACCGCACTCCATATAGCAATCAAAAGAGACTACGAGAAATGTGCCCTTTTGCTCCTCGACGCGGGAGCCTCGCCCGAAGTGGCATGCAAGCAAAAGTTCACCCCTCTCCATCTGGCTACTCAGTGCACGAAGACGAATCTATTAGAAAACCTTCTTAAACACAAAGGCTTGGACCTGGACCCCGAAAACTTAAACAAAGAGACACCCTTCCACCTGGCTGCCAAGAGTGGTTTAAGAGACACGTGTCTTCTGCTTCTGAGGAAAGGCGCTCGGTTGAACGCCGTGAACAAACACGGCCAAACGGCTCTCCATCTTAGTGCTTATCACGGACATCACTCTGTCGTAAAATTATTGATCAAAAGAGGAATCGACAAACGGGCGACAGATGATAAGGGCTCAGTGGCGCTCCATGCGGCTGCGCTTAAGGGTAATCTCGAATGCTGCAAAGTTCTCGTGGAGGCCGACAGGGTTAGCAGCAAGGAAAAAAACAAAGGGGACAAGTATCCCCTCGATTATGCTTATATTAACGGCCACCAAAAAGTATTCCAGTTCCTCTTGCAGAGTCTGCCGTTCAAGAGCATCGCCACCCTACCTCAGGGAATACATGAGAGGCTTCACTCGCACACTCACAAGGCGCTAAAAGAAAGTAACAAGTAAGTGTGGTTAGTTACGAGTGTGGCTGTTCGTTTGCCTTAATCTAGCCTTCCAGTAATTACAAAAAAAGATGGGATCTTGGTTTATGCAGTAATTACATTTGTAAATATTACTCAGGAAAATAAACCTTAGTTTGCAAAGAGATTAGAAGATAGAATGCTAACATATCTCTCAAATGTAAATTCTGAAGAAAAACAACATTAAGTTCTTCACGGAGTCTAGGTAAGATAACTTAGCCTTTTGTTATTCATACTTATTTACTTATTTTTATTTTCTTATAATTATTTTTTGATACTCTCCAGATCAGCTGTTGAAACGATTGTGGAGAGCATGTGGTGGGAAGCCGGTTTCGGTTCCGGCAAAAAGCACGATAGGGAGCCTTGTAAGAACTTCAGGGACCTTATCAAACTTTACCCTTCATTAGCTGAGAGAGTGATGGACAAATGCACCACCACTTGCCCGACAACGAGAGTCAAGTCCTACGATTTCAGGATATTTGAGGACAACTACTACATTGGGCAAGGTCCGTTTTGGGACGTTTGTTTTTGTGTACCTCTGGTCATTATGGTGCTTACTTTTCATGATTAAACCGAAATAATTATGCACATACATACACACTGGCACGCATACAAGTACACGGACACATACACATATACATACTTATATATTCATATGTATATCGAAGTGATGGCGATTCCATTGTGTTATCTCGTTAGAGTGCTAGATTTTGTTCCTATTTTTTTTCTAGGACAGAATAACTATTGAATGTATGTAGACATTCATTGTTGCTGTCATTGATTTATCACGTTTTCCAATCCGGTTTGAGGTCGAAGTTTGTGCTTTAGTGATGTTGCTACTTTTATTAACAATCCCATTTTATCCAATAGAGAAGAGGAGTTGCTTGGATATACCCCAAAGCCCTTTCTACCAAGACACGTGGAGGGTTACTTGCTTTGCGGAGGAAATAGTCACCGACAACCTCCTCTGGAAGAAGGAACACCCCGTAAACCTCATGGTCGTTCACCGCTGCCCCCAGCTCCTGCAGCACCCACTGACCAACGCGTGGCTCAGTCATAAGTGGACGTCGTACATTCGGTTCATTTACTTCGGGACGCTCTTTCTGCAGCTGATTTTCATGACAACTCTGGTAGCCTTCATGGTTGTGGTGCAGTGAGTATGGAAATGGGGCTGAACTTTTCCTTTCTTTTGGGGGGGGGGGATGTTGGTGAAATCAGTATTTTATGCCATTGTAATAACGATAAGGATGGAATTGATTTAATTGATAATTAATAATTTTGACGCGTTTCGATTTATATATCCACCAGAAATACATGTATTTCTGATCACAAAATAAAATAAAAAGGCGTTGCCACTCATTATCACTATTTCTAGATGTCACCGAGAGTTTTGTTCAACGATAATGATGATGTTTATGATGTGATTGTTACTGGTTATGGTATTGGCAACATGTAATAGCAAAGACAGCAATATTGATGGTTTCGATGAAGATAACACCCATTTCTCCCTCAGGAACTGGCAACAGGTAACCCAAACCTACAACATGACAAAAGATGAGTTCTGCAAAGCTATGCAAGGGCCCCACCCAGTGAACTCTACTTCCTTAGTTCAAGAAGCCAATGCAACGTCTCCTCGACCTCCCGACGCGGCAGAAGAGAACCCTCTCAGCTGGGATCCCTGGCCGTCCTACATCTGCCATGTGGCGCTCTGTTTATCACTGGCCGGTCAGATCGCCTTGGAGGTCAATTACTTCTTCAAAGTGGGTCTCATGAGGTCGTTCTTGTTTCTTGGTGAAGAGATATTTGTTACTTTCTCTGAATTTCTTTTCTGAAAAAAAACTTTTTTGTTTACTCACACAATCTCGCTCACTCAATCACACACGCACACGTACACGCATACGCTCACGCATACGCTCACGCACACGCACACGCACACGTACACGTACACGTACACACACACGCACACGCACACGCACACGCACACGCACACGCACACGCACACGCACACGCACACACACACACACACACACACACACACACACACACACACACATCCATAAAAACAAAACATAAAAACGCGCGAATAATGTATGTCCACATTTCACTGTTACAGTTACGCTGCCTGTACCTAAACGTCACATCTCTGGTTTCCCTTTCGTGCATGGCCCTGTGTATTGTACTTCTGCTGCCTACGTCCGTCTGCAGCCTACAACTTGGAATCAAGTCGGTTAGTATATTCTGGTGATTGCTTTGTGTACTTACTCGTTACTTAGGGTTACTTGTGATTTTATTTATTTATTTATTTTTTTATTTATTTATTTTTTTTACTTTATCTCCTCCCTATCTCTCTCTCTCTCTCTCTCTCTCTCTCTCTCTCTCTCTCTCTCTCTCTTTCTCTCTCTCTCTCTCTCTCCCGTGCTTGTGTAAGTAAATATCTTTTTCCAGGTCTTTAGCTGGCAGTGTGGAATCATCGCCTTGGTCTTGGCCTCCATTCGCTTCATCAGCACCATCAACCGACTCCCTGCTTTCTCCATGTTCACATCAATAAATCACAGTTTTATCATGAGTTACCTGAAGGGTGTGATGTATGTCCTGGTCATCCTCTTCCTCTTCGCCCTCATCTTCCACCTCCTCCTCTCGAATCAGCTGCCTTTCGCCACGCTCCCTCAGGCGCTAGTGAAGATAGTCGTTTGGATGTTGGGGGACCTTGCCTACGACGAAACCTTTATAAAGCCTCTACATTATCCATACCTCGTCAACTGCCTTTTCCTCGTCTTCCTGTTCACCGTCGGAGTGCTGATCGTCACCTTGCTGAAAGCTCCCTCGTCTGATATCAACAAAATCAAATTTTACCGCCTGGCGAGACAAGCACAGATGTATTTCATGATTGACATTAGTTTTCCCCGCTTCAAGAGGTCCTATGCGGTTGGAAAGTTTAGCGACAAGGAGCACAAGCCCTGGATCGTCTCCAAGCTCGAGAAGATTTTGAACCGTCGGCAGCCAGGAGCCGTGGTTGTGCAGAACCTCTTAAATGTAGTGAAAATAGGGCTTATAGACGATCGCGAGTACAGGAAGCCAGTGGAGAGGCACTGGTTAGTGGTTAAAGTCGAGGAAATATTGAATACATTCACGTCTGAGGACGATGACTCCCAGGACTTCCCAAACGTCACCCAGGAGAAAATTGTTAATCAGTGTGATAAGTTGGATCAGTTATTAGTACTGTATAATCAGTTATATGAAAGCTATCAGAAACAGAATGAACAAATTAGTGAGCTAAAAAATCAGATTGACAATTTAAAGCTCCACACATTCTAAATAGTAAGTAAGGTTAACTTTTATACTAATCTCAAATATATCGCTTTTCATTCTTGAGAAGCGCCAGAGCTTATCATGTTTACAGATGCCCATATATAATATGCCGTTGAAATGCTTTCGTAGCACATATATAAAAGCAGCTGTCACTCAGCACCCATATTAGCCGATAAAAATTGTCATATTCATGGATAATCTCACCGATGAGACAGGTAATTCAGAAGGTTGTATGTTCTTTCGTCTGCTCAAGAACACTCGGTGATAATAATTAAAAAACCGTCCAGTATCCATTGAATTTGAACAAGACACAAAAGCACATCATGTTGTTAGTATGGTCATATATATACATACAAAGCCCTCGTTAGAATCAAACTCTTTAACACAACTGTTACGGATGACATTCCCTTTCGTAAAACGCTTGACTAAATTAAGCTTTTCAGGATTAAGTGGGTTGGTCGCAACACAAACGCCATTCCCAAATTCTCGCAGTTACCTCTCTGACTGAATTACTGTTACACAGATAAATGCCATTCATGAGAACCATCACGTTAACCATGGGCAGTCGCCTTGTATTCAGGCACGAGTTAATTTCCACCATCACCTCCATTAAACTTCATATTGTTAACTCG